GATCGCGTCGGATCCCGGTGCCTTCCCTTCCTGATTATTTATGGGAGAGAGGGTGAGAAGTCCAGGTCATCGTCCGTTTCCACTTGTGGGAGTCTGTCCATGACGATGTCGAAGATTTTTGAGGGACGGTTGAGGATACTTCTGAAGTGCCTGGCCCAATGCTCCAGAGTCTGCGATTTCCCCACCAGAAGTGTTGTTCCGTTGGAGCTGAGAAGCGGCGCGGTTCCATTGGTTGTAGGGCCATAGACTGCCCTGATCTATGCGAAGTACATCTTTGTTTCCTTGCTGTCTACATATCTCCGGATTTTTTTGGCTTTACGAGTCATCCGGGTGTCCTGCATCTCCCACAAACGTTTTTGCACGAGACGGCGGCATCGGGAAAAGGCTGCATTGGTGTCGTTGATCCAATGGTCGATGTAGGCTTTGTGCAGACTGCGCTTTTCTGCGAGCAGGTTGCTGATGTTTGCTTTGTTGTCGTTGAACCACTCCTGATGCTGACCACGTGCGCGTCCGCGAAGGCTCAAGGCAGTGGTCCGGACGGCGTTCCGCAATCGACACAATTGAGTCTCCACGGAGGCGTTGTCGTCCGGGGCCGACAGTTCTCCCAGGTACTGGGCTAATTGATTGCCGAAATGTAAGCGGTAAACAGGCAAATCCAACGGATGGTCGCTTACCTTGTGGTCTCCTGATGGATTACAGTCGGAGCCTCGTCTTTGAAATGACGCAGCGGTGATCGGTTCAGCCGTCGACGTCACAGATAGTTTTGGTCACTAGCGCGTTCTGTCGCTCTCACCTCCGGACGAGGATGTAGTCCAGCGCCGCGTTCGGGTATGCATCTGGATCGCCTTCTTCCGCGTCGGCAGGCGGTGTTCTGCGCAGGTTCGCAGGAGGAGGCCCTTGTCGTTGCAGCTGCCGATTCCGTGGGACTCAGCGCTCCCCTCCGGACTGCGTAGTTTGTCCCGACGCGGACGTTGAAGTAACCGAGGACGACCATCTTGTCCGCCTTTGACACCGTCGCCAGGAGGGTGTGCAGGTCTTCGTGGGACTTAGTCTCCGCCTTGTCGGAGCTGGTTATTGGGGGGGGGGCGGGGGGTGGACGTAAACACCTAGGATGGTGGCAAATCTGGCAGCGGGAAGAGGCAGACGCAGGCTCTTGAGGCGGTCATTGGCGTCCTGCGACAGACAGGGCAGTTGTCCCACGATATCGTCCCGGATGTCGCGCTGTCTTTGGGCAGCCGCTCCAGAAGAAAATGTAGCCGGCACTCACCTCCTCCAGTTGGCCTTGTTCGGGGAAGCGAGCCTCGCTGAGAGCAGCGATGTCCACCTTGTAGCGCGACCAGCGTCGTCCTCCATTCCGGCCAGTTGCTCCTCTCATTGTCTAAAAGGGAACGATCATTCCAGGCTTCTTTCTTGGGTACCCTGACAGATTTTCGGAGAGTCAGCAAATACTAGCCTCTTGATATCCAATCCTTCCACTTGGACGTAGCTGGCTAACGGTCAAAATGGTCGAGCAAGATTACCACGGGGTCTGGTTCGGTGCCAGTAGTAGTAATAGGATTACTTAAGTAGAGTAGTAATATTATTAATCACGTAGCATAATTAAAAGATATCTTATTCACGCCAGGACACCGGCTTTTGAATGAGCTTATTTTCGACCGCCAGTAAAAACTATAGTCTCTAAAAATGACCAATTAGATAGTATGGATTTTTCTCACTGACTTTCGATGCTCTTATAAATCCAAGTATATTCAGTAGGAAGCATACACAGAAATACTCGTTCTTTTACTCATGTCGTAGCAGATCACGTCCACTCCGAATTTTCTACTTGAAAAGATAGAGAGTATCTTTCACTTTTAAAAGTTCCGTTCATGCACCATCGCATCAGTACGTCTATCAATGCTACTTATTAAGTATCCAACCTGGTCCACATCCATTGCTCAATTTTATGAGCCGTAAATTCAAATATATTTTGTGGAAAAATCCCATGAAAATATCATTGTACTAATTTTCTACCACGTTTCATCTTCTTCAAATATGATGCTTAAAGAAAGCGCACCGTTTGGTTTTAAGAGGTTTTACGACTCCCGACTTATTGTGAACCCGTTCGCAAAATTTTGCAACGAATGCGGACTATGTTGCGTACTTAGTGAGGAGCGAAAATACGATGTTATTCGAATGTACATTGCACGGTCTTGAAAGACCTCCCAGTTAAAAACTTTAAAACCGAAAGATGCCCCTTCTTCGAGTAGAAAATCTGAAGAAACCGTGATTTGCTACCAAATGAGTTCAAGTAAGACTATTTTAGTGCATGTTTTCTACAAGATATTTTTGAATTTATAAGAATATTAAAAATCGATAGAGAAAACGCATACCACTTGAGTAGCATTTGCAGGTGGCTGAAAAGAATGGGACAATGAGCCACAGGGCAATTACTATTACAGTGCCACTTGAGTAATCCTTCCTAGTCGAAAGCGTATTTCAGAATTTCGGTCAACATTTCGTGGGGTCATGCGTTAGGCAAATCAGTGGCAGCCAGAGAACAGGGTCAGGACGCCGGAACCGACGCAAAGAACGGATCCGAATTTTTGGATTACTACTAATGCCATGGGTTGGACTTCGGTGTAGTCATGGTCGTGTCTGGGACGGCTCGCTGCAAGGGACGAATGACCTTGAGGCAACGAGGTCTTGAACAATGACACCAGACCGGTCATGATGGCTGCCCGCTACATAGTCAAGGTCGTGACTGGGGTTGAATGGTGGACGGTCCCACATGGAAGTAAGACTGTTAGAGACCTGGCTGGCGGACACCCGCTCAGCCAGCTGCTATTTTCCTCTGCCCACAGCTCGTACGACTTTTCGACGGGGGCCTGCGATCCCCCCGGGGCCACCCATTATCGCCAGAGGACATGTAAGACGTCAAACAAGGAGGGATGACTCATTGCAAACTAGTGGCCAACTCGCAACTGTCCTGGCACTGACAACTAACGTGCCAGACGAGAAGATTTGTGTGGGTGCGTGGACTTTCTAACCCCCCCAGTAGCCGATGATAGCATTGCATACTTGAAGAAGGAGACACGATCGCTGGGACAAGAGCTTTGTTAGCCTGACGTTTCGGTTTCCTGCTCGAATCCATCATCAGAGACAACAGCAGATACGGGTGACTCACACACAAGGGGCTGCAGTATTTATAGGATGCAGTCGCCATGCTACCGCATACCTATGAATATTCACGGCTCCGCCCCCCCCCCTTTCGTCAGGGATCGTTGAACGTGGTGTGCTAATTGTTCGATGGCCGAGATTGGCGTCGTTAATCACTGCAATTTCATCACGTGCGTTGGGTGTTGGTGTGATGATTGCTCGACCATCTGACGCACCGACCCTGGTGTTGGGACAAGTGGTCACATGTGCGCTCCCCGCGTGGCTAATTACTCCGTCTAGGCGAAGTTTCAGCACAAAGTAGGAAAGGGGAAGTTCATTGCACTTGTTAATTGACTGGGGCCAGTAAACCATGATTCAAGTAGCTTCCGGCTCACGTGGTTGTCACCTCTTGCAAGAATCTGGGCCTCGCCGAATTTGAACGTGTGGCCGGATCTCGTTGAATGAGCCGCAACTTGAGAGTATGATTTGGTGTCCGTGCGGTTAGGCCTTTCGTCCCTTTTGCGTATGCACCGGTTGACAAAGTTGCGCGGGTAACCATTGGCTTTGAATACTCGTCGGAGGTAGTGCGATCGTGTCTCCTTCAAGACTACTTCCTGAGACTCGTCTCTTCGCTTCTGTTGACAGCATTACATCGGAAGATGGCACTTTCACCACTCGATTTCGTTTTTTTGGGCATAGTAGTTGGTAGTTCGTCCCTCGCCATCGTTGTTATCACCACAGAAGTTGCCACTCGAGTGATGTACGGGGTCTTACGTCTCCGAATAGGCCAGTGCGGTGCCCAAAGTTGCAAGAACAAGTGAGGCAGGTTGGGGGATGGAGGGGGGAATGGAGGGGTCTTTTAGCAACGATTCTGTCTCCCTCTTATGATGAATGCTCAGGTGTCCGATCAGCCCGATGCAGGGCTAGAAATTCCGACTGCACCATGAGCAGAGTGAAGTTTGTCGACGTTCGTCGGGGTGGCAGTGACAAGGGCGAAGCGCGGTCCGCAATTTGCAGTCACATTGAGGGCGTGTGTGTGAGCGGCTTCCATTGTGATTTTGGCCTTTTTGGAGACGGCGAATTGCTTGGAGTGACATAGGCACGGGCAGCACTGGTCATCCGAAGCCCAGTCTTACGTGGCTGCTTCGTCGCCCTAACCTCTAGCGTCCGATTGACTTCGAAAGTCGCGCCCCTCCCCCCCGGATTTGATGGAAGATCACCATGCCTTCCGATTTTGTGCAAGGGTTTCCGAGTTGTCATGCGAGTTCTTCAGAAGTGGCTTTTAATATCTTTGACGATGAACCTCGATAGTCACCTCATAGAAGACCAGATTTGACAGTTACTAACAACATGACCGCGCCATCGAAGTTGAGTCTCCGCCAGCATTGCAAGTGACCTCAGCACGTCAGTTGATTTCGGGATCCGACTGTCCGGAATCCATTCGTACCGCCATCTTTACTACTTTAAGAAGGCAGTTTAGACAAAATTGTTCAGCCTGTTTGCTCGGTTTTGGCTAATTGTACGCCTTTGCGCGCCGTAGGAAATCGTTGTCACAATCGCGGGACTGTGAATCTTCAAGTTGGTATTGAGAATACAGTGGCAATCCTATACGGCGGACTGAAGCCTGCCAAAAACAAAGTTAACTTTAGAGATCTGGACTGCAATTTATCCACCGATTGTATTGCTTCCGGGGAGGGAGACGGTTCTCATGGAGACGGGGAAGCGATTGTTCTTGACGATGACCAAGAGTTCCGCATATTCCACGCTTCTCCCTGGTTGCTGCTTAATAAGTATTTTCTCTGCGGGTTCGAGGTTGACGTACCGGAGCCTGGAAGGCTCAGACTTCGTTGTGCATCCGCTTCAGTTGCGGTGTTTGGTGCTTAATCGTCTATGATGTCTAGCGGTTTCCCGTCAGTTCGATCTCGGTTCCCGGCCGCCGGCTGGCTGATGATATCGCTTTACCAGCTGCAAACTTTGGCGATCTACGGTCTACGGTGTCAGGGATGAATGAAGCCGCTAGATCCGTCGGTTTATCCATAAACGCTGGGAAGACCAGACGATGTTTTAAAGCTGCATCTTCGACCAGACGAAGACACCTCTTGAGACGAAACTGCTGCTGAATGCACAGAGTAAGGACGACATTGTCCCCCAACTCGATGCTGTCCGCCAGGTTCTCTCAAGTCTTCCGAAGTTTTCCTAGACCCAACGCGACATCTCCATCGCCATGAAGATTCGCATGTACCGTACATCCGTACGGTTGTGGGTGCTGGGCGCCGCGCGTGGAAGATGACTGGAAACGGGAGGTATTTGGCCACCACGGCTTGAGGACCATCCGGCGAGTGAAATACACCGACTTCGTATCAAATGGGACAATGCGCACTCCGTGGAACAACATCGTAAGAATAACCTAGAAAGACGACTGCGGTAGTTTGGAGACCTTCTTCGCTGTCCACTTCACGAGCTCAGTGTCGCTGCCCTTGACCTGGCACAGTTACTCACTTGGAGACGCCGAAGAGGGAGGGATCAACTCAAAACCTGGCTCGACACAGTCCGCCACGACATGGAAGTGATTCTCGGATCATCGGTATTTGGTCTCCGTCGGTCGCGAAGAGAATGGGTTGAACTGTCCATATCTGCGGCCGCGGATCGTCACGCGTAGAGAAGTACAGTCCGTGACATCATCGAGGCCGGCTAGATCAAACATGATCGCAGCCGTACCAAGTACAAGTGATGACAGTTTGATCACCGTATCCGACGATGCCCACCCTGTGTTCCACAGCAAGGCGAAGCAGGCACGGCGACTTGCGCGCGAATCAGTTTGTAGTAAGAGTAGACTTCCGCAGCATCTACCGCACTCTCTCGCTCCCCACCTGGACCTGGTGTCAAGACATAGTTAGGAGGACCGTAGGCGGGAGAGGGCGCAGGTGGTTGGCACGGCCGGACCCGCACCTAGACGTACCAGTCCATATCCCTGGTCCACAAAAAACACTTGACCAGGATTTTAACCAACAACAAAACCCCAACGGGGGTCAGAAAGACGATGATGACTAAGCAACCATGCTTACGACCCGTATACCCAGCGGGAGTGCAAGCGCACCTACCGGCAGAGAACTACCAGCGCACACCAGGCTGTAAGGGCTATGGTTTGCTGATCATGGCATAGCAGACACATACACTCCTTAAGGCGCTACAAGTAAGTACAGCATGACAAGCGTCCCTAGGCATTGCAGAGGAAATGGGACTGAAGAGGGCTCAGACAATCACGCAGTCACACCTTAACCAATTTGCCACATCGAATAGTTGCGAAGTTGATAAGTCATCTCTAGAGGGCACTGCATCATGCTGTCGCCAATTTGTCAGACCACCAACGTGTATCTTTCGGAACGCCCAAATGTTTCCGTAATTTTCCAGAGTCCATCTCCGTTCGCGGTGTCGAAAGTAGTATAGAGACTGATTCCAACTTCTCGATGCATTTTCTCGTGGTAGTTGCATCACGAATATCATAGTGACCGCTTCACAATGTCTCCGGAATCAACATTTAGTCTCCAGGGCAAGTCTTTGTTCGACGGAGTAGAACAAGCACAGATATTTTGTCAGCGGCGTTAAGAAGAGAGAGAGAGATCCACGGTGATAATAGCAGATTTGTCGGTTTCCTTTTCGTTTGTAGAAGTGGACAATGGTGGCGTCCTTGAGGTCTTATGGGATTGATTCCTATCTCCACATCTTCTGAACCATCAAGGTTAGTTTGTCCGAAAGTTGAGGATCAACGTATTTGTAGACATCTACTAGGGGACATTTCCAGGAGAGACATTTGCTGTACTATTTCGACCATCTTCTCCGGGGGGACAGCCAATGATCGCGATCAGCGTTCATTTCTACTTGGGGAAGTCCGTTAATGGCTGCGCATACTGAGGATGGACGGTTGAGATGCAGCGCCCGGCGTTCCCAGATCTGCGATTTCCCTAACATCGGAGTCGTTCCGTCTGAGCCGAGCGGCGACGCATTTCTGGTGGGTTGGGGTCTGTGGAGTTCTTCATTTCACCATGGTCCGCGTATCCTTTACGTTCTTTGTCTTTGGAGTCATTCAATTGTTGTGTATCCTCCTCAGCTTCTACTGCAATATGTAAGCTTAATTTGAGGTAGGGCTGCTGTTTGCGTTAGCCCCGTAAAATCAGAGAACAGGCGCCGAGTTTCTATCACTATTGCGTCTGTTCTCAAAATATTCGTCCTCCAGGACTGGTTTATATCGACTATTCCACTGCGCCTGTCTTCTGTAACACTTATCGATCGAGGTTTGCTTCCAAACTATTGAACCTGTATCAATTGACGGACACAATTACTATCCTTAGTGCTGACTTGCTTGCGATTAGGCTCATAGCGAGTGACACCTGCACAGCGTCTACCTCACTTTCCTTGGTCAAATTCACTGTCTTCTAACGGGAAGACCAGGTCAAAATAACCGGAGATGGACGTGGGTGGAGTAGCTGGCAAATTTAAATAACCCGTCTACGCGTGCTACACACGGTCTGGTCCCCACAGCGTACCGGGCTTTCCTAAGGGATGGCTTGGATCTCACAGCAGTGTAAGTGTCGTAACGGTCACATTAGGGAGTCACTAAGGCCTTGGAGAAGGACCGGGGTATCCCCCATCAGTTTGCAGGCTTCGAAGCCGCGACTCTCAACGCATCATGATAGATTCGAGCATGTCACAGTGTCAGCTTCGCTCCCTTACCGTGCGCCAACCGACTGTCCGAGCCTGTCAACCAGGGGGCGCTGGGATTCTCCCGGGTTCTCACGGGCTCTGCGCTACTCGATGAACCAACACTAAACAGATGAGGCCCCATTTTGGCCCAACGCAACGGCAGCGCAGCCCGTTTTTGGGAGGTGGGGATGTTACCACGAGATGGGCTTGCAGTCAGTGATCGAGCTCATGAAGTGTTAGCCAAAATCCTGAAGTACGTATTCAATACTTGTGTTTGATACGGCTGCGATCATGCCTGATCTAGCTGGCCTCGATAATGTCACGAACTGTACCTCCCCACGCGTGACGATCCGCGACAGCAGATCTGGACAGCTCAACCCATTCCCTTCGCCAACGACGGAGACCGAATACCGGAGGTCCGAGAACCACCTCCATGTCTTGACGGACAGTGTCGAGCCAGGTTTTGAACTGACCCCCTCTCGACGCCTCCAATGGGGCAACGGTGCCGGATCGAGGGCAGTAACAGTGAGCTCCTGAGGTGGACGATGAAGAACATGCCCGAACCACCTCAGTCGTCTTTCTGGGATGGCCTGGGTTATCCTTGTGATGTTGTCGCAGCAGTCGCGGACTGTCTCATGTGAGAAGAAATCGGTGAACTTCACTCGAAGGATGGTCCTCAAACAGTGGTGATCAAATACCTCCAGTTTTCGCTCGTCCTCCACGCGCGGAGCCTAGCATTCACAACCGTAGAGAAGGACAGACCGGACAGATGCACGGTACACGCGAATCTTAGTGACGATGGAGAGGTCACGTCGGATCCGAAGGCTTGAGAAAACCCAGCGGGCAGCATCGATTCGGGAGGATTACTTAAGTGGGGTTGGAATGATCATCATGCAGCATATTCTTAAGATATTTTAGTCACACCGGCATGCCAGCTCTTGAATAAACTTCTTCCCGACCGCCTCCGGAATGTACACTAGTGATAACTGGCTACTTAAGTAATGTGATTTTTTCCCATTTGATGTTCGATGGGCTTATGAATTTAAATATAGTTTATAGAAATCACTATCAAAATATGCTCCTCCGTACTCGTCTAGTAGTATTCCACGTCTTATTTAAATCTTATATTCAAAGCAATGGTTTATTTAGGTTTTAAAACGTTTTTATTTATTTGGAGTACGCTCCACCGTTGCATCTACGTTTAGGGTTTACAGTCTGGAATCAAGTATACTTTCCATGCAAGAATCACACATTCCTCTATGCCATTAAGAAGATACCATATAAAAGTTTTTGCAGTGGACGTGAGGAGTATTACTAAATGGATAGGTACGATACTATTTAAATGAACATTTCATGATCGTAGAGATTTCATGATTGCGTACTTTTTGGAACCGAAAAATGCCCCTCTTTGGAGTAGAGAATTTAAAGAAAACGTGAATGCTACCAAATGAGTGCAAAAAGCATATTTTGACCATATTTTCTATCAGATATACTTGGATTTATAAGGGCGTCGAGAAACAGGGGAAAATACTACCACTACTTAAGCAGTCACTTTTACTGAGTGCGGTTTATGCAAGCGGTTGGAAAGAAAGTGCATTCCTCAAAAATCACCCAGCCCGACACGCAGTTGTACGGTTGGGGATGAGTTGCTGTGTTGTGTGCTGTGTGTTTGTGTTCTCTGTTTATGAGACCAGTCTCCGATCTCACACAGGCAAACGTAGTGGCTGACTTGACGCCTTCCGCACACCGATTTGATGCCAGTCAAAGTCTCGCGTAAGAGTACAGACCATTTTGGGGTGCAATATCGTCGCACGTGTGTGAATCGGTTTACGGCAAGAGAGAGAGAGAGGCAGAGCGATTTGCACACGCCGATCTCTCACCCTCTGTTAACACCACGTTTGTTCCAATCACGAGGTTAGTTCAAGACAGCTAGAGATGTGTTTGACGCAGTGCCTGACCAGGTATTTGCTCTCCCCCTCCCCTGCAGTCCACACACTATAGAAAGAAATTGTCCAAAGTCAGTTTAATGCGTATGCCATTGCTTATCCCTTAACTCTCTTCTTCCTACCTCCCCTCCTAGCCATCCTGCTCCATCGGCCCCCTAGCCGCGCCCCACTGTTCATGCGGATTGCCGACAGCCTGCCCTGTGACCGACCTCCAGCTACTTCGTGTGCAGCTGCCCGCTCCTGTTATTTTCCCCAGTCCCGGACTCTCTCCTCTGGCCTGTCGCAGCTTCTGGACTCAGACAGACGTCCGGCCCGAGGCGTCTCCCAGCAAGGCCTATCTCCCAGCCTGCCATAACTTGTCCTTAACATCCACTTCATCCGCCGCAACCACTGCCTCATTCCAACCTCTGCTCTCTCCAGACGCTCTTGCGGCAAGACAGCAACATCGGTGGGTTGTTTGCGGTGATAGTGGATCAGCAGAAACCGTCTCGACTGTCGCCACCAGTCCCGGATTCCCAACCCTCGTCACGGACAGTACTGTTCCTCCCATCTCGCGGGCGCATCTCGTGAACGTACCCCGCACCTGTTACACTGTCGCCACTGCTGCCGCCTCCAATCCCCGCCTGAACCCCAACAGTCTCCAGCAGCAGCAGCTTCTGGGCTTTGTCGGCCCGCCGACGGGAGTTGGAGAGCTTGCTTTGCAGAACTTACCGCCGCCGCCGCCACCGCTGTCGCCACGCATGATACATGATCACCCCCCGCCCCTCCCTCACCTGACCGCCGGGGCAGCACCCCTTCTTCCTGCCGTCGCCACTTCCGCAACCAGTGTTGTGACCACCGACTTACGTAATTCCACAATAAACGGCCTTGTCACGGATTCCATCTCGGGTTATTCTCCCCTGCCCTCTCTTCGAAAGCTGCCTAACTCAACAACCACCCTGCGTGTTCCCTTGTCCTTCATGGGTTTGCCAGCGGCACAGCCTTCAAACCCCGCCAGTCCCTGTTCCTCATCACCACACCTAGTTCAACCACAGTACCACCCACCCACCAGCCTGCCCTTCTATTCGCTCGCACAGCAGCCCTCCCCAATGACCTCTTCAGCGGGCGGTGAAGTCTACGACAGTCTTTGCGCCCTGGACCCTGTCGTTTACTCCACAACTGCGTCTGGTCAACCCTACGAAGATATACGCTCACAGTACACGCTGGACTACTCTGGGACCTATGACGACGGGCTGCCCGGCAGCGAGCGTGAGGAGCCGGGTCTGCTCTCCAACGCTCCAGTAACGTCTAGCAGCTCGACGCTAGTCGATGGCGTCAGCAGTTTCATCCGGACTTCCTTTACGGATGTGCCTTTGGGCGCTCTGGAGGAGGTTCTGAGCCGTCTGTCTGTTAATGACAACTACTTTGGTCCGCTGAAACTCTCGAGAAGGAAGGCAGACGAGGAGCAGAAGGCGGAGTCGGAGCCAGGGGGTGCAGCCGGCGACGGTGACGCCACCTTCTCTCCGCCGTCATCGGAGCCGCGGTCACCGACAACCTCAGAATCGTCCCCCCGCGAGGATCCTTACCGGTTGTTGCCCTATTCGCACTCCTCACTCGCTTTCATCCCTCCTGGGGTGATGGTAGTCACTGAGGTGTGGGAGTTCTTCGCTGTCGAGCGTCTTAGCTTCTGCAACCACCAGATATCCTGTATGAAGTTCGAGCAACTGAAGCGCTGTCTGCATAAACACAGTCTCAACCAGCGTGGTTCCACACTCATTTTGAAGCGTCGACTGCAGGAGTTCGTGCGGAGGCTGCGTGAATCGCCTGCCTGTAGGACGGATCCTGCGAATACCGATGAGGTCGACTTGGCCCACATCACAGCGGAGGCCTCTTTCCCCCCTCTGGAGGGAACTCCGGTCGAGACGAGTTGTACCGCGGTCACCAATACCGAAGAAGACGAAGACGCTGCCGATATTCGCATACCGCCTGATGATTTTCGGATGATCAAGCTCAGACAACCCGTGGTACTGACACCGGATGTCTTCTACGCATACCTTTTAATTATCGATCTGGAGGCAACCTGTGACAGTAAGCCGAGAGAGATTGGCGGACCCGATTTCCCACACGAGATCATCGAGTTCCCCGTTCTGCTTTACGACACTCGTCAGCGCAAGTGTGTCAGCGTCTTCCATTCCTACTGTCGACCAAAACTGAGACCCAATCTGAGCACCTTCTGCAAAACTCTGACCCAGATCAGTCAGACTCAGGTTGACAACGCTGTCACCTTCCCCACTCTGTTAGCCCAGTTGGAGAACTGGTTGCTGGTTCAGAACAACCTCTCAGAACAGCGCTGTGCCATTGTCTGCGATTGCAGTGCCGACATGGCTAAATTCATGCGTATGCAGTGCCAACTCAGTCGCATTCCTATGCCCCCCTGGGCGCGTATGTGGATCAACCTCTCGAAGGCGTTTCGCCAGTTCTACCGCCTCCAGCCAAAGCACCGATCCACCCTGAGCACAATGCTGGACGATCTGGAGTTGTGTTTTGCCGGCCAACAGCATCGCGGCCTCGACGATGCCATGAACATTCTTCGTGTGGTACAGATCCTTCTGGCTGACGGTTGTCGTCTGCGCGTCAATGAACGCATCGATCCAGGTCGCCCGCCCTCCTACACAACCTCGGTGCCGCGCCTGGTGGCAGAGTCTGCCTGCGGTGTTATGGGCAGCAAATTGGCTCTCCTGGAGAAGCGCTCCAAATCGGCTTCCTACTACACTCAACCGGGTGGGGGACCTCCGACCCAGGCGCCTCTGACTGAGACGCTGACAGAGACGGATCGCGACTCACTCCTCTGGCTGCACGCCATTCAAAAGAAGCGTGTCAGCCGCCCCAACGTGCCGTGACGACCCTGTTTCTCATCTCCTCATCTGCTGCTCACAGCACGCATCCACCCCGCTTCATTGATGGCGGCTGTGCCGTTTCTGCGTGCTCGCATACCAACCTATGTTGTAGTATACTTAAAGTATTGGGTTGCCGAGGAAGCCTATAAGTGAGTGAAGCAAACCGTTGCCGGGAACAGTACCGCTCATCCACTTTTGTTGGTCAGCCAAGGCCTGCCGACCCCTCTTTCTCCTCACCTTGTACACAAAGACTTACCGTCAGAGGTAGTGCTTATGCGTAGATATCGGCTCCCAGCCCACGTGATTGGCTTGATTTTCCTGTCAGAAATGCGTTCTCCCAAACCCATGCGTCCGTGTGTAAGTTCGCACCCCCTCCCCCCCAGAGAGGCAGCTCTTCATTCTGCCCTCGTACTGCCAAGAAGTG